TTGTAAAACCTCTTAGAAGTGGAAGCTATTTTTACCGAGCCTGTACTGAGGTGTGATTTTTTGTTATTTTTTTCCCCTCCCTATGTTTTACAATTTGGCCAACTGAAAGCATTTTCTGAGAAAGTAATAACAAGCAATCCCTGCTTTGAGTACAGAGCCATTCCTGTATTTCAAAGGCGAAAGGAAAGATCTTGAGATACTTTCCAGAGTAACTATGTCAGTGTGGAAAATGTTATCTTTGGGAGTTAATTTTGCAACACTATAAGCGACGTGAAAAGAGGGTCTTGTAACCAGAAGGATGTGGCAGCTTTGGGAACAGGCTGAACTACTTGTCCTGCCTGCAAGAACCTTTTGTCATTTATCATAAGTCTGTTGGGCAAAAGCTTCACACTGGAAGTCCAACAAAAAGAAATGTGAGATATATGTGAGATATTTATGTTACTTAAAAAAAAAAAAAAAAAAAAAAAAAAGCATCTCGTGATAGATCAAAATCAGTAGTAATAATAAGCAGTAATAGGTATTCTTTGACAGATGCAGAAATTTATTCTGTTAAACCGTAAGAACTTTAAAAACACTCCTGCAAGCTTGTTCTGCTTTATTTGCACAGAACAGTCTGCCCTGAAGAACAGGCTTTAAATCTAAATTGTCTCTCCCTCTCTGCTGCTAATATTTTAAGTCCCAGACTCCTCAGCTAGTTTTAGTTTCTTCTTTGATCTTAGTCAAGATAGACAATCCAGAAACAGGTGTCCATTAATGTAAGAAAAATGCACAAAGTTAGCTTCAGAATTGACATTCTAAGGGAATCTTTACATTGCTTTTTGTTTTACATGCTCAATTTGCTCTTCTGTGCCAGGCTGCAAACCCGTTTTAACAGAGCAAAATTTTAAATGGCAAAAACACTTGCCATTTCCCCTCTGCAGCCAAGCTGACGTGGAGATGCTGAAATCCTGCAAGGGCTGTGAGTCTCCTTGTACTTTCATCTGGACTGGATGAAAAGAGAAGTCTCACAAGAAAAACTTTTCTCCTGACTTACTGAAACAGTACAAACAAGAAAAGGCAGTGATGGTTTGGGTATGCCTCATACTGTGAGGCTGTGAGTCAGATCCAGCTCTGGCTGATCCTGCCTTGATTGATGGACATCGCAAAATTCTTATTCATTTGGGACTGAAGCAAATTGTTTGCTTATTAGTTCCAATGCGACCTAAATCTGGACTTTAAGTCAAAGTATAATTCAGTCCTAAAATTGCTGTGGACTTTTAAACTCTGATAGAATTGATGGAGTCTGAGGGAGCTCCGCTCCTTCACTGGGGATGCTGTGTATCTTGCCAGTATTACCATTCTTTGAATGAATTGCTAACCTGAGCAGAAGACAAGAAAGTGATTTAAGTCAAATTTCCTGACCCTGTCTCTTCTGTAGCTTTAGCTTCAAATAATTTTTCAATAGTGTTTAAATTTTATTTATTTGTTTGTTTATTCAATTTGATCTTGTTGTTTGGACTAGGTATGATGCTTTACATAGTAATTGACGGCTGATTTCCAGGGCACCAAGTATACTATTTTTAACTATACCATCCTCATAGAAATAAATCAAACTGACATCATTCAATAGTTATATTGTGCAAGAGAATATGCATTCACCTGGTCTGCTGGTGCTATCTTCTGTTTGATTTTTTTGCAGGGGAAAAAAAAAAAACAACAAAAAAAACACCTAAAATTGTTTTAATCCTTTATAGTTACATTAAAATGATATGGCTGTCCAGCAGATAAATTGACTCCATTGTATCTGTTCTAAATTTATATATATAGCAAAGTTCTGCATGGTCATAAATGATTTATCTTTTGTATTTGGAGTAGAGTCATAATCATTCACTCTTTTTCAAGTCTAGTTTGGCAACTTTATCTCACTTGCAGTTTGCATTTCTGAAAGTGGAAATATATTCTGCAGCTTTTGATGTGTTGATTGGTAAGAAGGTAAAGACAGCTGCACACATGTCTCCAGAGACTTAGCTCAATGGCTAAATGAAGACCTCTAGTGCTTTCTTGTTAGCCAAGATAGATCTACATCCAGATGAACCACAATTAGTCAATAGTGAAGGCTATAGGTTCATGTGATCAGAAGCCACAAATCAGTTTTCCCTAGGACTTAGTTATTGGCAGATAGCGCCTTAGGCTATGCCTTGCTGCCGCTTGCCTGACTGTAATTTTTCCCCTAGTGAAGTTTTTAAAGTCACATACTGAGACTGGAACAGTGATCTCCTGACAGCAAGGCTGTCACTGGCCTGTCAGATATCAATTGCTTATCAAACAAATTGTCTGCTACTTTAATGTACCTGGCCCCTCGCTATTAACAAAGCTTAAAACACTTCTGGTTTTTGTCCTGCTATTTACTATGTTGGTAGCTGTCTGCTTAACTGCATACCTCATTATTTTGAGGTGATGTGGGCCAAATCCTTCCTTATCCTTCCTTCCCAAAACATTGGTAGAAACAAACCAACGTGATTTACACTGAAGGTGACTGCACATCATTGTTTATCGTGAAACCATGTCAGTAAGCTACCCTAAAGTTACCCCTTTAAGTAAACTTCAATTTTCTGCTGGAATCACAATCCTCGTCCAAAATGGTTTTGTTTCATAAGGGTTGGTTAACTTATTTATTATGTTGGCCTTGCATTATACACAACTTTACTATGGCTAAAATTAGGGGCAAAAATATGTTAGGAAATTTCATCTGAGGCTTTCAGGGAACTGGGAGGGCAACAGGGAGTAAAGTCACACAGCACACACAAGCCACAGATAAGTATGATTCCCCAATTTTATAGGTAGCTAAAACGAGTCTTGGAGAAGCTGCATTACTTCCTCACCCAGTGAATGAGTTGCAGACGGAGCCTAAGGGTTTTATTATCTGCCCCTATTTGTAGTTACCAGCCAGTCTGTCTCCTCTGAGGATGAGTTACATGCCAAAATGGCATCCGTTGTGGCTTCTGGGCAGTACTCTAGCTGAATCAAATCACACCTTTCTCATTGCCGTTCTGCAAATAAAGGAAAAATTAAGGCCAGTAGAAGTAAAAGTAATTCTCCAATGAACTGAGTATATAAAACGTGCTCTAAAATTTCCAGCACCCTGCAGTGATGGTGATTAGTTAAAGAAACACCACAGCCTTGTTACTATCATATCTTTTAAAACCCTTTTACATTACACAAGGATGGCCTAAGAAATTAATTAAAATGTTGGACAATAACATAATCAGGGATATCTATATTTGCAGTCTTTTCTCTGTGCTTGCATACATCTTTTATCTGTCAAGTACAGCAAATAGCTAATTAGCCCCTTTTTAAGTGCTTCACTGCTTATATTGGAGCTATAGTCGTGCCCTAGTGGGATGGTTTCCAGGAAACCTGATACACATTCTCGGCTGAAAGAGCATGTGCCTATTCGTAGGCTGTTAAAAACTGTTAGAGATTAGAAAATGCTCTTCTAAAAAATTCAGTTGTTTGTATTCTCAGAACACATCTGGTTTCTAGAAGTTTTAGAGGTGGAGCAAGCCAAAATCTGGAGTCCCTACAAGGTTCTTACTCAGCAAAATTCTTGCCAATGGCAATAAGACAGTTACTAAATATATGTTTCAGGATATCACCTAATATGTAAACAAAAAGGTAGGTTTTAATATGATGGTAATGACTCATTGTGTTAAATTCGTGCAATCGATCGTGCAGTTTCTGCTTGGGCAAAACCCAAGTATAGTTGGATCTGAGCTAATATAATCTTTATCTTGACAAACTGCCATAAAAAAGATTAGCCTAGTTAATGTGTTTACAGCACTGTGCATTAGTATTAAAGCAATAAATCTGATAAATAATCAAATCATCTTAGTTTCACATAATGATTAAGAAAATTGTGCTTACAGATTAAAGTGATGCTGGGAGATTCCACCCCCTCTTCTTTCTGCATTAAAATCTTTATAACAGAAAGGCCTCGTTGAGGGTTACTATAGCATGTAATGTCACATGCCATCTCTTGCTGACCACAAAAATAACTCAAGGCGCCACTCTGCTGCAATTAGCAGCTGTAAGACTATGATGTTTTGACACAGGTGAGGTGAAAACCTCCAAGCAGAGAGTGGAGATATGAGTTGCGAGACTATTCCTGCACTGAAGTACCGCATATTATTTATATGCCAAAAAATTTATAAGAAAGGACTTTTCGCAAACTCCTGAAGTAAGTTCTACCACCAATTAATTTGCAATGCTTTGTGTGAAGGTAGAATTTGACCACCATTATCTAAGGTTTTCCACTATTCTTTGCCTTATGAGTAAATACGTTTGTTTCCACTGCTCTACCTCATCAGGAGGAATCAATTATAGAATATGATGATTAAATACCAACCCTCAGTTATGTCTTACTGTAAGTCTGTCTTTTATAGTTGTGAGGTAGACTCTATCCCTCTATTCACCAATATTACCTTACCACATGAGAGGAGAGGCTGAACCATGCACTGGGCTACTTATGGAGTAGCATACTGTGTATTTGAGAATAATTATCAAATAGTTGTATGTCTTATAGGCCCTGGGAAAGGGTGTTTTACAGGTATCAAACAAGTATTTTCTAAGATATGTATTTGAGAGGCGATTAGCATATAAACTATGCAGCTTTTAAATGTAATTTGGGAGCAGATCACTATGTTAGAAATGTATAAAAAGGCTTTAGAGAGTAGCCTCGTTCTTCCTTTTTGTGCTTGTGCATTTTTCAAGACTATGCATTTACCCAATATGCACTTCTATAATAACTCTTCTCTAACATTTAATTGTTTGTTAAAAAAAAATATATATATATATATAAAAAAAAAAGCTGGAATTTGTAGCTACAACAAACAGCAAAGAGAACTTAGGGCTAGTATACCAATTAAGTTATTTCTACTGTAAAAGCCCTTATGTGCATTTAAGAGCACTTCCATGACTTTCAAAAATAAATAAATATATTTGCTGCTTGTTTTATTCCACAGATTTCCATACTATGTTTACCACCAGCCACAATGTGTGGCAGCAGAAATGCCCGTTTTGCAGACGTGTCCGTCAGGTGGAAGGTGCCTGGGTAAGAAGTCTTTGTGGCTGATGGTGCACTGCTTTGAGGTTCAGGAGGCCTGCCTCTGGTCTGATCTTTGTGTGTGATTTTTTTGGATGGCAGAAAGGGTAAGAGCCATATGCCCATTAAATGCTGTAATGTGATTCCCATCTTCTGTCTGTGCTCACTCTCATCTGTGTACGTGAGCACATACATAACCGTACAAATATACCTACCCAGATGAAAGTCTGCATCGGCTCTGGTCCTATTGAATTTTCTGAAATGATTTTTTTGTCTTGATGGGTTTTAGCATTAAAGTGAACAAGCAAAGCAGCACACTTCAGTAGTGTTGGTAGGAAGGAAGGAAGGAAGGAAGCGGGAGGGGTGTTTGAGAAGGGTAAAGTGCACATAAAACTGGATAAAGTCACCTGCTGCTCCTCATCATGCAACCTAAGAAATGTACAGGAATTTACAATGTACAAATATTCTGCTTTGTAACTACTGAATTTCATGGTTGCATATTTGCCACTTGTGAATTTGTAACTGGATATTAGCAATTTCCGAATGGCTTGGGATGTTTGTGCACACGTAATACTTGAAAAGTGTGGTAAACATATGTAGCAACCTGTTTATTCATTGCAGAGTGCACACAAGGAAAGAGAAATGCTAAGAACTGTCATGCAGTAAGCTTTCAAAGTGGCACGACCACATTAAATATGCAAGCATGAGCTGTTACGATCCCCCAAACATTTCCATATGGATCTGATAGATGCAGTTATATTGTCCAAGTAAGAGGTGAAAGCCAAAAGGTTATGGACAAGAAGATGATTTAAATGTGAATAAGCCATTAGAAACTACTGGAAGTACAAAAGCAGAATTTTATTTGATCCCTTTGTGTTACCACATGCTAAATGGAATTAGATCCAGCCTGTGAGTGGTACTGGGATTAGACACCAGCATGTGAGAGGTAAAACTGCAGAATTAAAATAACCCCTGGTTTTATTCATCTCTTCTGAAACATGTCAAGTGTCACTTTTGTTGATTACCATAAAAACAGAAGTCACTTTCTTCTAAAAATCGAAAAAAGTTATCTTGGTACTAAGTATTAGGTAACCAGAATGTAAGATATCACAGCTACTGTGTTCTGGAGTTATAAGCAGTGGTTGTGACACATTATTATTATTGCTACAGCTACGACTACTACTTACTTGCTATTTGCTACAAACATGTTAGAAAACATTTTTCTCTTTTGTGTTTCCTTAACAGCTAATACATCAGGGTTCATGTTTCTGCCTGGGCATCCTTGATCCCATCATACTGTTCTACCCTACTCCTCCTGATTTAACATTATTATATCATATATCCTATTATCATATGAATAGTCAGGAATAAAAAGGCAAAATTTAAAAGTATACAAAGTTTTAAACAACATTAAAAACAATTAAAATAAACAAAAACAATGTTTTTCTGAAACATTTTTCTAAAACAAATACAAACTTTTTACTTAGAAATATTATGGGATTTTAAAAAAAAATCATCAGAAAGACAATTAGTTTCAAAATGTTAAAAGAAAAATCCTATTAAAAATAAACTTTAAATAAATGCATACTTTATGATGTATTTTTGATAGTAAATGGCCATAATTATTTGCTGTCTGAGAAGTTTGTGAATACTGATTGAACCAATGGTTAGCAGAGGGAGGTGTTCATTTTCCCTTTCCTTTAATAATTCCGTGCTCTTCCTTTCCATACGTTTGGGTTAGGAAGTTTGTCCCTTTTCAGGAAGACCTTTTGTTTGCAACCTGCTGCCAAATCCATCTGTATGCATCGTCTTTGGTAATATTGAGAGTTGTACCTTCCACAGTCTTTGGCACTGCATGATGAAGCGCTCTATTTATATTAAAATGAAGAAGTTCCTAAGGGAGACATAGAACAGAATGAAACAACAAACAGAGCTTTAGAGACTGAATGTGTGAAGTGACAGTGACAGCAAAATGGTAGCTTTTGTTACAGAGTGGCCCAAAGGGCTGCAGAAAGACTTATAGCATGAGCCACAGTGGTTTGAACTTGGCAGCTCTTACAGGCTTAAGTACTTGCCATGAGAAGATGTTTTACAATACAGAAGTTAATCAAATAATTTCTCAAGCTTGCACATCTTGATTTGGAATGTCATTGAAATAATATGTTGCATGAAGCTCTGCTATATATAAATTAAAGGAATTATTTTAACATTGAACCATATTTCTTCATTTAAATCAACACACAACTATACTGCAGTTTTTATGATTTACTTACTCTAGATAATAGGAGAGAAAAGACATAGACGTCACATTATACAGCAGCTAATGCCCTACTGTTTTCAGCTCAAGGGAAGGGAGAAAGTGAATTAAGCTGCTACTGAAATGTGCCCTGCAGGTCAATTTGAAGCGGGCAAGAGTGCTATAAAGTGGTTTATTGTGGCGGGGAAAGCTGTTAAATTGCCTGGAGGACTGGCTCAACATCATCGTGATGAGGGAAGCCGCGAGGTTGCTGTGCCCACTCTCCTAATGGTACAGGCAATCCACCTGGCCATCTGGAGGTATCAGGTGTGGGAGCAGTGAAAGGGCAGGAATTACTAAAGCTGAATTTTGCAAGAAAATGTTTTGTAAAGTATTTTTGTAATGGAGAAATAATGTCAAAACTGATTTCTTGATGAGAAAAGTGAGAGAAAGAGAGTAGAAGGCATTGCAAATTGATATTTTCTTTGGATGTTGAGTCCCTGGCTGGGCCAGAAGAGCAATACAGGTGGAGGAACACGGTGCTAGCAGAAGGGAAGAGTTAAGAGCTGAGCATCTGTGAAGAGAAGGGGCTTTTACTTGTTTTTGTTGTCAGTGTGTAATTCACATTTTACACAAAGGCAATATTTGTTATCCATCTTCTCCAGGACGTCAATTAGCTAGTTAAAACTTGCCCCTTAGTACCAGAGGGAGAGCCTGGGTTTCTTGCTGGTTCCAGCCTGACATTCCCAAATCATAACGGCATATTTTCAAGAACTTATTTTCGGTTTCAACATCTGCTGCAAAAAGAGGGCACCATCTATTGGAAATAAATAAAGTGGTAGTCAGATACTCTAATGAACAAACTTGTTTGGGAAAAAATTAATTGTTCCCTGTGGATATAGACCTGCAGATGCTGATACCACTGCGAGGGAGGAAAGATCACCTTTTACAAGCAAAGACATGATTTATCCCATTCCTAGCCCACAGGAAGTCAAGCACAGGGCATATCCTTCAAGTCTTTATTTTTTGAAAATCATTTCTATAGAAAAAAAAATGAAACAAAAGTTTGAAACATCTGAAAGCACTTTCTGCCTTTTAAATTGATTTTCCACTTTTTTTCTTTTCTTTTTTCTCTTCTTTTCTTTTTTCTCTTCTCTTCTCTTCTCTTCTCTTCTCTTCTCTTCTCTTCTCTTCTCTTCTCTTCTCTTCTCTTCTCTTCTCTTCTCTTCTCTTCTCTTCTCTTCTCTTCTCTTCTCTTCTCTTCTCTTCTCTTCTCTTCTCTTCTCTTCTCTATTGAAAATATCTTTCTTGCAACTGTTGTTACAGAGGACAGGAGTTATGAAAGTCCAATAGGAAAAGTTTTCCAGAAAGAAAAGCTCAGCCTCACTTTTCGGGACCCAGTTCAAGACTATCTACCTTAGGTCATGTTATCTGATACATTAGCACCCCTACCACAGAAAATTTGCACTTAACAAGTATTTCTGTCAACACCTACTCAGGCATCCTCTACTGCTGAGCTCCCTCAGTATCTCTGGCACTTGCCATCACTCTGTGATTTTGCAGGAGTGTGACAAGTTGTGCTTTGTTGCTACTGTTCTTTGTTGCCTCTGAATACTGGGAGGAGAATAAAAAAGGAATGTGAGAGGGGAAGATTTGGATATTCATTTCCAAATTATAGAGTATGTTGTGCTTTTTTATTTTTTTTTCTTTTTCCTTTACAGCCAAGAATAAGAGAGTTGTGAAGAGATTTGGGACTGTGTAAATAAACTCTGAGCAGAGGTAGGTCTGCAAATTATCCATGAATGGCAAAGTTTGAAGAAAATCTACTTCTGCTCTAAAAAGGCTTCTTTCCACATCGGTTTTTGGTCATGGAATATGTGCATCATTTTAAACACATGTTTTATTTCATCATGATTTCCAAGCTGTTTTAGTAAACCAGTTTTCCTTCCTATCCTGTTCCCACTCCTCATCAAATTTGATCAGGTTTTGTATTAAAATTCTACCATTAACAGATCACACGTGAGGGAGACTTGAGATATTTTTGATACATCAACCACTCAAGAGCATGGATTTGTTTCTGCTTCTAGGGATTTCTGTGAAGTCACCTGGGCTGAAATACTCCTTTCAGTCTGTCTTTGAGCTGTCTGCTTTCAAACTACCTGAGACAACAGAGGTAAAAATTTAGATAAACATAGAACTGTTGGATTTTCTCTCCTGGCAAAGCACTGTGGAACAGGTACTCCTTTTATTTCCATGTATTTACAATTATTTTTCCACAGAAGCAAACTTCTCTGAGCTACTTGAATGTCTTGGAACATAGCCTTGCAATCTTAACCTGCTTTGGCTGCAGTACAGCTTTAGTTTCTCTGGCACCCATTTCTGGCTTTTCCTGGTAGAATGAACACCTGTAACAATGAAACAGACAAATAAATAACGTAGTTTGGTAATTGGCCAAACATAAATTAGGCATTTCAGAAGAGATTAGGAAAGATAGCAAATCCATGAGGCTACTGCTTATTTAGTCAAACACAGGTAGAAATTAAAAGGAAAGATTTTTTTTTCATGTGTTCACTAGGTTTCTCAAGGATGATTATGGAGCCTTAAAATGTGCAGCCATAAACAGCAGAATATCACAGAGATGCCCCCACCACTGCCATCTTGGGTTAATTCTCCAGATTTCCCAGTCTGGCTAATTCAGCTAGCAGGAAAAAATACTGTGGGATTTCCCCTTTGTGACCTATAACTGTGAATCAGACCCCAGACCTCAGGCACCAGACTCCCCTCACTCCAGAATATTTGTAATGAGAAAAAAAAAAAAGTTAAAAAAAGAAGTGCTGTGTTTACTGATCACAGTGCCAGGTACAATTGTTTATATATTTTTGAGGTTTTAATCAATTAGTCTATAAAACTCAATGGGAAACACTGTATGCTTTGTCATGATTAAAATTCTTGAGACAGTAGCATTAAGTGTAAATGACACTATGTAACAGTAATTACATATTATTGCTTAGATCTTCTGCTAATGTAAATTCAAATAACTGTGTTTGAGGCCATGTTTCTCTAAGTCACTCTGTAAAGATTTCAAGTAAGAGAGATCAATTTTAATTAAGCACATGTTTTAGAGATCATGTGAAAGTGGAGACAAAAAAATATATTTTTTTTACTAACAATTTATTGAATATATTGTAGAAGATTAAGATTCTGTGTTTGTTGATTAGGCTTTTTATGATGTTACAGAATTTGGAATTAACAAAGATCAAGAAAAAGCTAATTTTTATCTGTGAAAAAATGCAAGAATAAAGAATTCAAAGGTACACTTAAAAGAGACAGATAAAGCTATGTTTGTTCAATAACTGAAATAATTCATTGACTACACTTGATAATGTAAAACAGTTTATCTAAACTGTACTAGAGTTGACAGTAGAAATATTTAAATGACAAAACAATGGTTTCTTCCAGAGTGGGTCAACAGTTTAGTGTAACTGTGAGTTTTATAATGTATCAGCTTTTACCTGTTCTAATTATCCCATCAAACAAATCGATTCTTCATTTCATAGCCATAGCACAACTCCAAGAAAACACTGAGGGGAAAAAAAAAATAAGATTCCCATCATGTAAAATGAATTTTCAAAGAAATAAAGAAAGAAAAACAAACAAACAAACAAACCAAAGAAACAAACTAAAAAATAAAATCAAATAACAAAAAAAAAAAAAAAAAAGGAGCCAGAAGTTTTCCACCTGCAGTGTGCAAATGGCAGCAGGCTGAGCAGTTTCTCTGTATCACTGCATGCTTCAGTGCTTTGTTGCCAATATGCCTGAAGAAGTGGATCATCCAAGCTTTCTTTCTCTGTGGGTTGATTAATGATCTTGGTCCTTCAACCTAGGGTAAGTAAGCTTGGAAGCAGATGGAGTGGAGAACGTTTTCTAGTGCATGGACACCAGCAGCAGGGCCTCCCCTGGCCTTTTCTTCTCTTCTTGCTTGAAATATCTCTTTGCACCCAATGGCCCACAAAGCTCATCTCAGAAGGCCCTCGGCCCCTGCATCTTGCTTTTGCTCTCAGGATCATGTTGATGGCCAAAAGTTTTTGTGAGCAATATTGTAGAGTATGGTCCATGCCTATGGACTTTTCATTGTCAGGCTTCTGTATTACATTTCAAAATTTGGAATTACTGCATATCAAGAGAAAGCAGATTTGCAACATATCCAAGGTATACCAGGTTTAGTTCCTTCCTCTAGAAAAACAGTGGAAGAGAAATTTCAACACACTTTGATTCACCAAGTTTTTAACTGCGTGTAACCATTAGATATAATATACCTGGCCAGACTGACCAGCTTGGTCACTAAAGGTCACTAGGTTAAGGAAATGTTTTGTACCATGTTGTGAGGAAGGCTGTGTTTATTTTTGTGTAAGCAGATATGCTCCTGTTGCTGTTTTGATTTGAAATTTATCAAATGTTTTTCTCAGAAGACCTGAAACAGAGATAAGGAGATACTGTATGCGATGACAGGCCAAATTTGCCTCTTTGCTATAAATAATCATGGTAAGAAAATTAAGGTGCAAAACCATGCCTGCTGTAATTGTTGCATACTTATTAGAAGCTTTCCCTTTCCATATTCTCTGGGTATTTGTTGCCCATGATAATGTGAATACTTAAGGGGAAAGTGTAATTAGCGACTGTGTAGTTCATTCAGTAAACATTTCTGAGCTGTTTGATGTGACTGAACTGAGCGTCACATATAATTTTACACTTTTATCCTACCAGGCAACTGACAGGTCTCTAATCTCAGTCTCAGAGCTTTCACTCTGCTTGAACTTTGCTTCATAGAGGTCATTTTCCAACCACTTGGGAGCAGAAGCCACGTCCGTTAAATCCCACAGAGTCGATAGATGCGATAATAGCTTTAGGCACATTTTCTTAGAACTCAGGGGAAAAGACAATTTCAATAAATGTAAAGCTATACTATCTACAATCTGCAGAATATGTAAGCAAATCGTGTAGGAGCACATCTTTCTTTTACTTCCTGGTGAGAAACTCTTTAATGATAAGGCATATTTGTTTGTTTTCAGTATGAACATTTGATAAGGGCAAAAAAGTCGTGTGCAATGCTGTAAGAAAAGAATAAAGGAGGGAGAATGCATGAGGGGAAATGACCAGCAAAATATTCCCTCAGGTTTGGATTGTCCAGATTTTATTAAATAGTCTAATACATACATGTATTTCTACCCTTGGTGAAAGGCAGGTGGTAATAGGGTGTGCGTGTGGTGGTCTGTCCATCATATTCCATATAGGAAGGGAAGCATTAGATCAACATACAAACTAGTGGTAGGACAAACGCAGAGACCTAGCATGTCTAAATACATGCTGCTAGCATGCTAAATAGGCTTGTGTACATAATGCTTTGATATATTTTACATTGTATAGATCACAGCTCATCAAAACAAGCTCACAGGTTATATCTGTCAAGATAATTAACAGACAATTCCTCTGTAGCAGATGTCTGAGATAAGTAGGAAAGACAATCTCTTCCCCTGACATGGCATCAAAGGGGAAACAACTGATGTTAAAATAAAATGTGAGTTATTTCAATTTGATCGTAGCTGCCTAATATAAAAATTACCCCCCCTCACACAATAAAACAAACAATCCCTGCTTGACTGTCAAACTCTCATACTGAGATTGAAAATAAACTTTCAAATTCTTTCAACATTTTTTTGTATTCTTTGATTTTTTTTTTCCTTGATATATTTGTGGTGCAAAGGAATAAATCTTGAAAGTAAAGTATCCCCTCCAGCAAAATATTTTACTCCATTTGCCTTGGAGAATTCCACTGCAGGGGAAAGAAAGGGAGAAAAAAAAAAAAAAAAAAACAAAAAAAACTTGCAGAGTAGCTGGAACAGCTTCAAATTCAATAGCCTATGAGATTTTCCTTTAAATGATCTTTCTAAATATAACAGTTCAATAGGTCAGTGGTCAATATGAGTGTTATCTGCCAGCTAGAGCTATTAATTTCTGCAACACTGTTTCAGACGCCAAATGTTAACCTAATGTTTTATACACCAGCTTTCTCACACATATGCTTAAATGAACATTATGCAAGCACTATGGAAGATGTGGTGCCTGTGTTCCCACATTAAAGTACAAAATAGTTGCCAAATCACAATATGGAATTATTATTTTGTTTTCATTCTTTCTAGGTCCTTTGAGGAATGGTCATCCTGAACAGAAGGATGTTTCCAAAGGTGAGGTGAGGATTTGTACAGCTTTTTGACAAAAGTGAGAGAGTTATTTAGAGTAATTTGACTCCATGCAAACTCACAGAAAGACTTGACAAGCGTCCAGAAGTATCTGTATGGTAGCAAAAGTTTGAAAGCTTGAAATTATGGACTGGAAAAAGTTTTAGGCCCTGGAAGAATCACAGAATTGTAGGGGTTGGAAGGAAGCTTGAAAGATCATCGGGTCCAACTCCCCTGCCAAAGCAGGTTCCTTAGAGCAGGCAGCCCAGGTAGGCATCCACATGGGCCTTGAATATCTCCAGAGAAGGAGACTCCACAACCTCCCTGGGCAGCCTTTTTTCACATCACATAGACCTTCCTCTTCCTTTTGATCTTTTCAATGAGCTCCTTGCTCATCCACTCAGGTTTCCTACCCTGTTCCTCCATTTTCTACTCTTAGGAATGCACCAATCCTGAGCTTGGAGGAGAAGAGAATGGATCAGGAGCCGACTCTGGCTGTTGCAGCTGCTCCATCAAAGGCAGTGCTGGGAGGAGCTTTGCTCTGCTCTGGGCTTCCAGGGCTGGGCTGGGCTCGATGCAGGACCTGTGGCATAGGATGGACCCCTGAGACCTACTGATCAGAAAACACAGAGGTGAACCTGTGTTAACCTGTTGTGCCATGTGCCTGAAATTAATACCTCCTGAGGGAACAGAGGCTGGACAGCTAGTTATGTGGTATGATTTGGCTAGACAGTCTTATTTTATGTGTTTCAGTGGTGCTGCTAGAACCCAGAAAAAAGTTCTGGGAGAAAACATCATTGCAGAAGAACAGAGAGAAATCACCATCACAGAAGCCAGTTAAAGTGAGGAAAAGTGCTCCAAAGGCTTGCTCCTTGTGGTACTGATGTCAGTTATCCTGTTTTGAATCAGGGTTGCTGAGTCAATTTTTCTGTTGTAGTACTTGTGGTTGCAGTCAGTGCATATTTGCACCTCCCAGATCCCAGAAGACCTTATTCTTGTCTTTATTTCTGTCTTTTGAGTGACAACTTGATTTAAGCAAGCTAACACCTCTGCATCATTGCACCAGGTCTGTTTTCTTCTTCTCAGGCTAAGATCTTGGGTTGTTTCCTCTTGCCATTTCCTCTTAAATATTTTGTCATCAGCTCTGGTACAAAAATCACAACAGTTAATGTTTTCTCTTGCCACTACCTCCTATTTCAGTTGCTACAGGCAAGACACACTCCCATCTATCAGTCAGGTTTACTCACTCCATCCAGCTTATCTCAAGGTCCTCTCACTCAAGCTATGTCTTAACCCAGAAGATAATATTCTTCCTGATGTTTTAAGCTGTGGTCTTTGCTTCACTCTTTCACCTCCCCAGATTTAATTCTCATCAGGATTCTCATCAACTGTCAGTTTGATGGCCATCTTTTCTTGCTGTGTGTGCCTCTGCCTTTTATGCATACCTACCTTGACAGCACTATTGTAGAAAAGTCTTCATCTTATATGCCAGGTTTTGATGTACTGTATGAATAGTGGAAGCCAATCTAAAGCTATTTTTTAAAGTCTTTTATTTGCTTAAGCAATTCTTATGTACGGGAAACTTAGTATGGGTGATTGATTTATTAATATCACTTTGTTGGTACATGCTTAGAATTTATTGTTCTCACAACATATCCCATGTACGAATAATAAATATAACCTAAATAATAACAGACTTACTATTTTTACAATCAGTTTATGTCTCCATGTGATTCTAATAAGAAGAGCCCAGGTTGGGAAAGAAGACATGAAACTTTATTACGTCTGCACTCTAATCCTAATCCTCCAATGCAGAGTAAAATCCATCCATGCCAGAAATGTCATACGGAAACCAGAAACCTTCATGCTTTTACTGCTGCTCTCCCAGATGGAGATATATATGCAAACACTGCTGAGCTCAGAATTATGGTCCATGACCAGAAGTAACTTTCATGGCGCCAGAGGACCCTTCTTGCCACAGAGGCAGGTTTAAAATGTTTATGCTTTGTTTGAATGTATGTCTGATGATAGCTCTTAAGCATTGCACTGCCATTCAGGGATTCCTGGGAAGCAATCCTCTCTTCTACTTTAGTCAAATTCTTTATAGCAGAAAAGTATCGAAGAAGGATGTTTTGTTGGCTCATCATTTCTGCCAGGCATTTTTTACTTACGGGGCCCATTTAAGTTACCTGGTAACTTGCTATTATGGATTGGTATATAAAGATCTCTATATAACTTGAAGCTTGGGAGAAAAGCTTTCTTTATAGAGCTTTACCATTCTTTAAACAGTAAGTAAAGCTAATTATTTATATCACATAAATTAATAGCCCTTTTGGACTTGTTGCACTGCATTAGATAAGTAACTCTCTTGCACCAAAGTATCTAAGTAGCAATTTACATGGTAAATTATGTTAACGGTTTCAAGAGCTTGAAACCATTTCCAAAATATGTTTAAACAAAATCCTTACTTATCATTAAACTGAAAATAAAAACAAAGTGTTAGACACAATTAATTAATTAATTGAATTGTTAAATTTTATTTTTTTCAGTTGATGAGCTCCTCAAAATGGCCACAGATACACTCTTCTGTCTCCAAGCCTAAAGTGACCACAGGTAAAATCATTTTCTCTCTAAAAAGCTGGTCAGTACAGGAGTTGAAAAATGTAAAAATGGTTTCTATAGCATAAAAGCTGAGTGCAAATCTACAAATGGGATCAATCTGCCTCACTCCTGCTACCTTAATCCAGCACCTCAAGAATCAATGTTTCAAGTCAATCCTTCCAGATGAGGTGCTGATTGACTTCCAGGCACTTCCAGAGGTAGGAGTAAGGTTGCTTTTGAAAATGAAAGGACAGTCTCCACAAAGGAGTAACTTTATCTCATGTAAAATACTAAAAAAGCACTTTTCTGTCATGGCAGAATGTAGAGGACTGTGTGTCTGTGGTTCAGGCAGAAGCTCAGCATCATCACCTCCTCTGCCAAATCTTCCTGCCTTTTGTCATGCCAAATGGATGATGACTCTATAAGAGAATTGTGTGAGTAAAGGGTAGAGTTAAGCAATATGACTCTATTATGTCCTGTCATTTCTGATTAATCTGATTCTCTCAAGATGGAAATACTACAAAATACTAGTTTTTGAACATTCAATGCTGGGGATATTAATAAGGCTATTAACCTAGTAGGAAAGAAGTAGCAAAAAATGCCGGGAATGGAAAAGAAATCTGTCAGGTGCATTCTAAAATACCCATGTCAGTAATTGAACAAGCTTTGAACAAGATTGAACAGTTCTTCCTGATTTGTTAAAGCTTTGCATTTTTTGCCATAAGCAGCTATATATTGCTGGTACACAGCCTTCTGGAACATATGTGATTATCCTGTAATTTTTCTCTTCTGCAGTTTGTGCAGATCTGTGGATATCACTGTGCTGGACTGTGGATATCACTTGAAAAATTCATCTACAGTGAAGCCACAATGGTCACAGAAATGTTGTGCTTCCCCTATGTTACCTACCTATCTGTTACCGCCTTTTCAAGAAAGACTGCATTAAATGTCTTTCTTTAGGAAGGTCATTAGTCATATTTTCTAATGGAGCTAAAACCAGATTTTTCTAAAGCATATTGATTTCTGTCTAGGGTGGGGCAGCCTTGCAATGGAAAATGTATCATTAAGAATATATTACATCTGGACAATAATCTTCAGGTACCTGTAAAGATCAGAGGGATGCCAATATGATCTTGAGCTCTGAATTGGTGTGGTCTCTGTGGAAAAGGTGGATAGATAGTATTTGTGTAGAGACTACACAAAATACTTGGGGTTTAGTATTTAATGCTAGCAGATTGTGCTAAATGTACTAGGAAGGTAATCTTTATGTTGGCAAATCCAGAATCATTTGGCACCATAACTCTCCTCAAGTGTGACATCCTGCCCTCCCAGCAGGCCAAAAGAAGCTGAACAAAGAAGAGCAGGGAGTCAGGAAAGTTAGTTTTTCTGTGCTGCTCTCTCCTACCTACAAGAAATATTCATTTACAAAATGCATTGGCTAGCTGTTTGCTTCTCTTTCTCCACAGGATTTAAGGTAAAAGATGCAGCCTGTGCCTTCCCTTACCTGGATATTTCTCCCTGGTGTGGGCAAGGTATCCTGACAATCAGTATGGCTGAGAAAGCCTTTGAATGAGGCTCAACAGAGCACTTTCCTTCATTAGCTGTCTTGAAAGCAAAACAAAGGAAATCCATCCAGATCTTTAGCCAATCCTGCTCAAAGAGAGCAAAGCCTTCAAAAACCCCTATGGCTGAAAAAATGTTGTGATGGCTGCCAAGTCAGGCACTAAGAAGTTAGTAAATATTAAAATGGAGACTTCCTTAATATAGTTCTTTCATGCATGTAATTGGGATTTAGCTTTCAACTGAATAAACACCAACTGAGAATGCAAAACGTTATTATTTTTGTTATCTCGTTATTGTAATATTTTTCTTAAGAACTTTTATTCATTCAGTGCATGGGATATGTTGTGCTCTGGAACACAGAAAAAATGTATCATGGAGGATCTTGGCCAGAGGCCCCTCAGTTCACTTCAGGCAAAAGTTGTCCCAGGATTTGAAGTCATCCATCTGATGTTACAATACTCACTCCAGAAAAGCCAAGGAGAAAAGTAAGAATGCTTCTTCAGAGAAGGGTTTGAATGATTTTCAGTGATTGCTTAATGTTTTATAATAGTACTGTAATAGTTCCATATAATAGTGTTGTATGATGTGATCAAGGGCCTGAACTGAACCACCTGGCATCATTATATCTTAGATATAATACAAATGCACATCTTAGATATCCCAAATGGAGATATCAAAGTGGGGCTGGTGCAGATGACCCTGAATGGAGGGAAGATCTGAGTCTTTCTGCAACATCCTGATGGTTACTGTTCTTCTGCTTCATGACGGGAGTAAGTGAATGGAAAAAGTTGGTATGAGCAGTTTGATTTTTGTTTTAAGGACAGCAGTCAATTATGTGATTGAGTTTTCATGAGGAAAGTACTGACTTTGTCAAGCTTAATACGCCCAGGGATATTAAGCCAAACCCTTAAACACGGGCTTCTATTACTCCCTGCAGACATGACTGGCACAATGTCTTCATCTTCCTTTGTTTGCCCTCACAGTAATCCTGGCTGTGGTTTCAAGAGGTGGTTTCACTTTGCTCATCAAACAGTCCTCAGAGACTAGTGGCAGTGATCATGGCAGAATACTTTGGACTAAGTTCATGTATGGCTTGCCTCACTCTTGTTTTTTGGTGATCCATGAATAATAGAATTTCCTGTTCTCTCAAATTCTCTTTTTAAACAAGGCAATTTATCTTAACATAGGCAACAAAAGAATGTAAAGTGTGGTGGGGTGTTGTTGTTGTGTTCAAGTTATTATCTAATTCTCATATTGTTAGTTTAGTGGATGTAGGCTTCAACTGAATTTAAAATCTAGGCAAAAATATTTCTTGAATGTTAGTGTTAGGATTGGAATTGTAAAATGGTTTTATTAAGACAACAGCTTTCAGTCACAATTTCAAATTTCCAGACTACCCAAAATGTTGGGGGTGGGGGGAAAGGGAAGGGAAGATAAAATGCTGGGAGGAGGATTCTCCACTTTTCTAGTAACAGGATTGAGTAAAAAGTTGCATTTTTCTGTGCTCATAACTATGTTTTCACATAAATTCCTACACTAAATTTCTGTTTTCTAACAAGCAGTTTTTAAAGTGTTTGAAATATAAATACCCAACACATTTAAATGAGACACATAGCCTTTCCAGTGGGTTCATTTTGCTTTGAGGCAGGTCTTAGATCAATTTCACTAGCACTGAGCAATCTTGGGAATAGCATATCCTCTGAGAACTGGAAAACATTGATTTATTTTACATGTCCAATTAGTTCCGTAAATTAAGCGACTGTATTCAGGTATGTACTACAGCACTGCTCTTTTCAAAGGTGAAGAACCTGTTTACAGCTTGTGAGAATACGACCTTAATTCTAGGGGGCCTAGTTTAAAGTGGTTGAAGGCCACTGTAAAGGTTCCTATTGATATTGTCAGGTTCTGGGGCAAGTTTGTGGCATATTTACGTATATATATTAAAAAAAAATATAAAAGTATATTTACATATATTTAAAAAATTATGAATCGTGTGGGGCTTTGCTATTGTTTGTTTGCTTGCATGTCTAACTCCATGGAAACATTTTTGCTGGTTTTGTTAGTCTGTTTTCTTTAGATGGAGCTGTGGGTTGACTCTGTCTCATTAAGTGCCTGACCAGTGTCGACATCAAACAATTACGCCGTAACAAGAGGCAGTGTCAGAGGTGTAGGAATGTGTTGCACCTTAACATTTCCTTTCCCCTTTGAGGATAATTTCTGGTGGGGTTTTGTCGGTGTAAGAACATGCATCCAGCTGCAGATCAAGCCAATCAGCCTCCTCCGTGCCAGGCCAAGCAGAAGCAATTAGCAGCGCGGCACTTGTGCTGTGAACACTGGGGTGTGTGCAGGCTGTGGCCTCGTCCCTGGCTGATTGCCCCGAGCCGCGCTGCTGCTCGTGATGCAAATTGTGTCTGGTCCCCCGGTAATCGGGATCAGCGCTGCCTCGTTTGCCCACTCGCTGCTCATGGCCCCTCTACGCCGCGATAATGGTTTTGGTGGGCAATCAGGGAAGATGCCTTCTTGACTCATCTCTCATAATAGATTGTCCTCCTCAGGCAAAATTGAATAACCCCCGACATGGCCTGGAGGCAAGCAGTACGAATTCAATAAGTCTGCAGGGTCAATGTCCTGATATTTTTGGCAAGCAAGTAATTATTCTGCACTAACATTCAGTAATAGGAGTAGGAAACTGCTGGAGACACCTTCCTCCATACCCAGAATAGCCAACTTAATAGGATATTGCTCTAATAAGTATTTCTGTCTCATTCCAATGCCCCCTGCCTTCAGGTTTGCTTTTCATGCACATTTCATGTACGTATTCTGCAGAGGCTTTTTACCAACAGCATCTGTGGGAAAGTTTAACAACTTCACTGTCTGTTGTTTAATATTTTCCACTTTTATGGGTTACAGTTGTGCTGTCTATTTGCTTTTACTGATTTGTGAAAGATTTATTATAAACCAAATACAGCTGTTCTGTCCTTTCATAAACTGAAACTATTTTGGCAAAACCTATTTTCCACTATGAAAATAAATTTTAAATTGCTTCCCTCACCCATCTTTCCAAGCATGAGCATCCAGTTGTTATTCAGTGGTGCAGAATAGGTGCCAGGGTGGTTGTAGGCTCACTTAGAGGGAAGAAAATGCCTATGCTTCAAAAATAAACAGCAGAAATGATTTTTCTCTCCCCACCCCTCTTTTCCAGGGGATTTAATATTATGATCTGAAGATCTCAAAAGTTATGAATTGTAATACAAAAAAACTCAACGGCAGATTTAAGCCATTTTTTGCACTCTGATTTTGCATTTATACTGAGGAGTTATACACATTTTGTTTCAATACTTAACCTTTAGCTTAAACTGATATTATTATCAGCTTTTTAACATACTTATATATTTTCCTTATGGAGCTTAAAATAGCCCTCTGCTTACTCTGAAAGGGCACACATCTCATTGTATCTCTTTCCACCCTCAAAATTTGGACAATTGTAATTCTCCCTCTCATTTTGAAAGAGAATATTAAGTTCTAAACTCTTCAACAGAATTTCTCTGCTGATTAAAATGCCCTTTCCCCATTCCTAATCTGGTGAAGCTATAATTTTGCATTTTGTAAAGAAGCAGGAAAGAGAAATATAGAGATTCTTCATGAATACCACTGCCTCAACCTAAGTTGTTTGTTATTTTTCTCCTTTTTTTCTTTTTTTTTTTTTTTCGTCTAGAATTAAATGTGTTTTACTGCATGGAAACTATTGCTTTATTCATTGGAAAAAGGCTTTATCTCTTCTCTCTCGAGAACAGTGCACATGGAGTAATGAAGATCCTTGTATAACAGCAGAATAAGCACTTTCTAAGACTGATTGATGATTGATTAACGTAGGACTGTCTCCCTGTAGCTGCTCATCACTGTGCTTTTTGATGAGCAGCATGCATTCCCAACATGAGAAAGTTGTTTTGATCTGTACCGGTCTTGTTTACTAGCTGGGACAAAACCTAGGTTGATATTGCTCGTTTTCAGCTGCTGGTGCTGATTTAGAGCTCAAGTATATAAAAAATTCCTGTGCTAATAATAGACCCATTTTTTTTTTCTTGTGAAATACATGTGATTACTGGTGCTGTTTACTGTCTTGCACCAATAGTGATTGTTTTTCCTTCCTCCAATGCTTTTAAAATGCCATTTGTAATGCAGCTTCGATATGATTTAATTTACCATTGGAATGTTCTCCTCATTACTGCCTTGACAGCCCAGTGTAAGATCCATCTCCACTTGTTCATTTGCCAGCTGGGCTTCATAAAGCATTTTGCTTCAGCCTTTGGCTCACGGAGAGATGTTTTTTTCACTAGTACAATGTTACCTTTTCTAGTGTTCCAGCCAAAGCTCCCAAGATTCACAGTGCTTGCGCTAAAAACTTACAAATGCACATATTTGGACCAGGAAAAGATTTCTCTCTGTGATTCTGTGATTGCAAAAGAGGAATGGTTTTCTACAGAGATCTGAACTATCGGTAAGTGCAACAAGAAAGGGATATAATTCATGGAAATAAAACAATGGGATTGTTCTGGACTAGTGGTGGTGGGTCCTTTAGGTGCAGCTCCATGTGTGTATCTTGGACCCTTCTGTAGTATGTAAAGCAAAAGCCATCATTTTTAGGCAGAGCAACTTACTGATTTCAACTTCTGCTCCAAAAATGCGAAGATCTAAAGAAAGAAATACACTTTCCTCAATAGAGAGGTCCTCTAAGTAAGGCTGTCATCATAGTCTATGGTCAGAAAAAAAAAAAAAAAAAAAAAAAAAAAGATGATGTTTAAAATGTGAAACGTTCTTTCTGAATCTTTTCAGTTTTACATACCAAAGATCTATTGAAGTTCTATCTGTGGCTGGTGATTTCAATGAAATTATATCAATGTCTTCATGCTGTGTGGAAATATTCCACTATTTGTATGTAAATGCATACATGTACATGTGTACCTGTACACATACAGTTGTGTCAATCTGTTGTTATGTCCTTTCTTTTGTGAAGTAAGACAAGGCTGAAAAAGTGTTGGCAGTTGTAAAGCACATGAATACTGAACACAGAGCTTATAAACAATCTCTGAATTTACTGTTCTGACCTTCTTACATTTCTATTTTGTGCTTTCCAGAGCCTGTTGAACTCTTATGTATATGTACCCCATTTTCCCCCAGGCTTTAGTTCTAAAACAGTTTAAATATAATAGATAAAAATTAGGACGTGATCCTGTTAATCCTTATTTACTAGACATGCTTTTATTTGCCTAAATTTTCCCATTGATAAATGAATGTGTCTGCAGTGCTTTGAAATACCTTTGCGATATCGACCAACGTATCTACTCATTAGTGGAAAAGACACAGGTCAGAGTCTTACACTTTTATAAAAAGAAACTTAAGTTTAAGCACAACACACTGGATTATTTTTACATATATTTCACACAAGCAGTGCTGAATAAAAAGCTAAAGATCACACAGCCAGTGTATTTTTAGCATTAGTGCATAGATGTTACTGACAGTAGCAAAATACTTTTTTTATTTGAATAGAGAATAAAGAAAGTAGACTTGTAAAAACTATACTTTATCATTTGTTGGCACAAACTTTCAAGCCTTCTTGTTCTTCTCTTCCAGCTGTCTCTCCTTACTTCTGCTTTTATTTAGTCCTAAATTCCTGCTGTTTCTTAAACGTGTTTGTACATCAACTATTAATGTCATTTGAATTGTTTGGGTTTGATTTTGTTTGTCATATTAATACTACTGTGAAACATTCCAGTTTTAAGTCTAAAGGCAGTATGTTATTCCAGAAATCTGCTGTTGAGTCTGATTTTCTTTTTAATTTTCATCTTTTCCTCTTTTTTATTTTTCTTTTTTCTTTTTTTGTCATAGCCAAGCATGCATAAAACTCAACGGAAGAACAACCTCCAGAGCTCCAAAATTCACACTTTCAGAATGGAATACAAGTTCCACAGGACTTAAAGAGATATTAAGAGAAATCTCTTAACATCTGCTCCAAGAGGCAGGTACAAGAGACCTGGCAAACTCCAAGGTAAGCACCAGGGACAAAGGTCCCAATAAAGCCGAGGTAGCTTGGTGCAAGACAGGCATTCAAAGCCAGGTGCTCATCTGTCTCCAACCCTCTTGTGTGGGCACAGAGGAGGGAAAGAGAGACATTTGCGTCACTCAACTTCCTTGCTTAAGGGGATGTTGGGCAGTATTGTAATATTATTTTCTGGCATAGACTTTTTCTCACAGATATATTTGGGTAGTTACACAGATGGTTATATCCCACTGATGTCAGAGATGAAGAGGTGAAAAGCAATAAAAGTGAGCTAGTTCTGTATCAAATCAACATCCACCATAGATAAGTGATTTCAGAAAGATGTTTTCCTTAAGCTTTGCAAGTGGAATTCATATTAAAAAAAATAAGTAAATATAAATATATAAGCTATTACTATAACATACATTACAGTTAGCTATCCAAACTAAATTGGTAGGTGGCTTAAGCAGTGCTATGCATGACTGTGGGCCAAAGTCGTCGCTAGCGGACAACAATTTCCTGGCTTTGTATTATTATTTCTGTCTGACAAGCTCTGTGTCATCTGCATGTTTTCCTCTCATTTCCTATGACTGTTTATTTTCTTCCTTGCTTTTAGCTCTTGCTTGTTTGTTTGGCTTGTGGTTTTGTTTTGTGACCTGGATTAGTTTAGAAAGAAAATATAAAATATCACCTTAAGACATGATTTTTATTTCACTTGGTTTTGTTCCCTCCTATTCCCTCCACACACACACGTTTCCTAGCTATTTTTAGTACTTTTTATGCTCACAACTGCAATGAAGTGAATTTAGTATTAAATGTTTAAGGCCTCCTTAAGTTCTCTTATCATCATTGTTATTATTATTATTTTTTTCATTATCATTGTTTATTTTTACTAACACCATGAATCAGAGACTAGGCATGGGCCAGGGTCCTGGCCTTGGTTGCTTGCTTTACCAGTTGTGAACAAAAGACAAGACCCTGCAGTCAACCATTTTCAATAGCCGAGTACCTGAAAAGAAAGAACAGGTGGGTGAAAACTGGGGGGAACAAGCAGCAGTGCTCTGTGCAGTGGTAGAACACACCTCCAAGGAGAGTTTTAAAGATAAAAGTATGAAGATAAGTATTTCTATGTCTAACAGGAATATGAGAGAGACTGGATCTGACAGCAGACTAAAGACACAAGGTAGAAATCAATCATTTGATAATGAATGGTAATGGATCATGGTGAAGAGATCTAAAAGCAAAGACAAACAGCTTGTGTCTGGCATTACAGAGAAGGGGAGTGCACAGAGAAAACAGCCATTGGTGGAGCAAAGAACTAGGAAGATGGTCTTAGCAGCACCAGCAACAAATATCTGGGTAGGTATTTGTTGGTTAAATTTGCCTTGGCCAAGGATATGGTAGATACTCAAGTTTCATTTTATGGATAGATGTCAGAAGGGGAAGTCTGCATCCTAACCACGTGCCATGAAAAGCAGTCACAAGCCTTGAGTGTAAAGAAGAGTTATCTAGGAAAAAACACCCTGATAAAAGTTAAGAGGTGGAAGATGACTGAAAAAGTGGAAAAGGAGGAATCTATTTTTTTTTTTTTTTAGATATATTGAGATGACAGCTTGTCATATCAAAAACAGTATCAGAATAACTAAATTAAATTTCAGTTTGGGTGACGGCTCTGAAACAGCAAGGTAGATGTTTGTGTCAACAGCCTGGAGAGATTAAGGATAGTAATTCATTGAAAAACAGTCAAGTCTTGCGAACAGGTGATACCAAGCTTCTTCCTTCTATGGCCTACTCTGCTAACAGGTTTAAATCAAACATAGTCATCTCTACGGTGTTTTCAACTTACGTCTGAGACTGTATTATTTTATGGATAACAGCTGGGATTGTAAAATAGAGGTAGGTAATTTTAATCTACCATAAAATATAGGAACTGATCCTGACAAGGGTAGGTAAAGTACTGCCATCCTTATTTTCTCCCAGTATTGGAATAGAAAAAAATAATACCAAAGCAAAATAATTAAATGTCACAATAACAAAAGTTATTTTCATACTATTTGGCATCCTTTCCACACCTTTCCCTTTCCATTTCCTTTCTGTACACCCTCTCTGTTCCTCAGTGAACTTCTCTGTAACTGACTCATCCTCTCATTTCTTCAAACCATTTTCACGGTCTTTCCACATCCTAGTCTTGAACTGAGTCTAGAAATTTTACAGGATATAAGGATGAAAATAGAATGTTCTGAAGGTAATTCTGGAGCTCATTTTGGCTCCTAACAACCAGTTGCTAATCAGATGGGCATTTGGGAGTTTGGATTAGAGATGACTAGTGAAAGAAGGATATAACACTTGATGACTGAACTACAGAGACAACCTTCTCTTGCTGGCCACGTACAATGTCACACCTCTCTTGCCACTGTCTCCTCCTGGAAATATGGTAGGAGATAATCAACCAGGAGATGTGCAATCAAACGGGATAGGAGATTTCTTCCCTTTTTGCATTCAGTTTTCAGCTGAAACGAGTGAAGTGTAGGTTTCAGTTACTAATCACTATTCAGTCACAACAGGTCAAGCAAGTTATTCTGATTCCCATATCAAGCTTGTTTCTGTGTGAGAAGAAAAATAAAATACCCTTCCTTCAAAATTTATTCTTAAAAAGAATTAGCCTGATGCCTTTTTGAGCAAGAGTAGAGTACACATGAGCAATATCACAAATGTCGTAGATAGTCTTATTTTTAAAAACTCAGTGGCACAAAATAACTTTCCATTGACAGATTAGCTCACTAATTTCTCAGAAAATATTTCAGTGGTGGCTTTTTCTTTTTTTTTTTGGATATTGTAGATTCTGTGTACACTTTAAAAATAAAAACTGAGCAAAACTAATTGGGAAAAAAAAAAAAAAAAAGACAACTGTCATTACAGCCATATATCCAAGATATGAGTCCACCACACAAATACATAGTGATTACAGAGTTAGCTTGTGGGAGGAGGGGAAGTTAGTATATGCAACACTGTGATTAAAGCATCTGTTACCTAGTCTCTTAATTTATTTATTTTTTTTAATGTAACTGTGGTGTACATTGTCTGCATGATTTCTACTTCTATCAGATTCTCAGGCTAAAATGGATATAATGTCTTTGAGCCTCAGCGTGGAATGCAGATTCAGCAACACTGAAGCTGGAAGAGGAACAAATGGTATTTAATGTAGATACTGGAAAATGGCTAATGTGGAACCAGCGTGGTGGAAGTGAGAACATATAGGGCTGGGCTCAGCTTACTGAGCTGAGTCTTTCACTGGTGCAAACCCTGCTTCTTGACTCTTAGTGAGTTAATTACATAAGGTCATTCTCTTTTAATTTCTGACCTAAGATGAGGATCAGTTGTACTCCACCAGGAAAAAAATCCTTAACTTTTTAGAAAACAAAAGTGTGAAGCCAGTATATCAAAAGCAGAGCTTAATTTTCACAGGTAGAAGAGAGTTGTAGTACTTGCTGAACTTGCTACTTCCCTGTACACTTCTGTTCCTCTTTATATCAAGAGTTGTTCTGTTCCTCTTTACATTTGTCTCTCCTGAATTTAAATGTTAAAATGTAATCTTCAGCTGACTAGGAAGGGTGAGGGTTTTCTCTAGAATCTCCCTCGCTGTACTGGTAGGGGTAGTTTTAGTAGTTCAAATCCATGGAATTGTCTGCCTTTCTGCCAGCTTTTGTAACCTGTACTCAGGTTAATTTTATAAAGACGAAAACCCTGCTTGCTGAATGGGTCATCCAGGAATCCAGCACAGAAACAGTCAAAACCTCCCTCCACCAAACTTTTATAGGATATAAAGTGGGGTTAACTGTTCTTCCAACATACTTCTAAGTCTGACACTACAGACTTATTTGGTCCTTTGCTGTGAGGTACAGTTTGCTGCTTCCAGCATGAGGCAGAGCTTCCAGTTCAGCTGTTCTGCCTTCCCCACTGCCGCCCGATCCCTTGCAAGAAAGTGCCTTTGCTGTCCTGCTTCGTATGAGTCATTCTGATGGCATAGGTCTCTCTTCTCCTGCTTTACATGCTAGTGTGGTTTTTACTAGCTTGTTTATACGACAGCTTATGCGTTGGTTTGATATTTTGCTGTATGCTTTATTTATGCAGTTGCCTGTTGGGGTCTGGAAAGGATTTCCCATAATGGTAGATTGGCTGGTCAGACTAGATTTTTCAGATTCCTTCTAGCAGTGGTACTAAATGTTAGTGATTAAGTATAACCTTATGTCAGATATCAATAACAGTAACCAAGGCTGGTTCAATAATATGTCTGGGGGACCCTTCCTAAAATAAATAAAACATATGGCTCAAGCCCATACCTAAAGCTCCCAGGCTTTAGGGACTTAAAATTTAAGCCCTGTAGTCACCTTTACAGGTATTTTTTCCCCACTCTCACTCTTGGGAATATGAAACCACAGGCACACAGCGTAACACAGATATTTATATTAAAAATGAAATGAAGCATACCTTGAATAGTACAGTAGAGGCAATACCAGCCTTTGATTCACAATTATTATTTGCCCCACTGACTGAGACCTAGTCAGTATTTATTTTGTACCCACAGGACATTTGTGCTTTTCTAGTTCACCCACCCCTCCCCTCATGGTGTACTTAAATAAGTTTTGGGATGCCTAACCAGGCTTTATGGGCTGTCCTGCAGCCCATGGGGAGATGCTGGGGATGCTGACTGGCAGCAGGGGGTCAGCACTAGTCCCATCAGAAACAGCTCTCTCTTGTCCACATCAGCTCTGCTCAGGGCATTGGCCTGATTCAGAGAGAAGGAGATCAGTTGCCTGAAGCCATTTCTTGCCATGCCAGGGTGAGCAGCTTTCTACAGGGTATCTCTCTTCTAAAAATCACATTCTCTTTACTGACTGCAGATATCATACCATACTGTGCTTCCTCAGTGGTTATCAAACACAGAAAGCAGACAAATATATGTATGCTCTGTTTAGCTTAAAAAGACGAGTCCTTCAAATGTAACAAATGCCAGAATTAGGGTTCTCTTGTGTGTCTTTAGAAAAATAGTATCTTTAAATATATAACCATGCACTGTTGTTTTCTTCTCAATTAATATGTAGGTTTGAATATGGCAGTGCTGAGTTGCCTATAAAATATTTACAGTGAATCATCTTTCTTTTAATGTATCTGGAGAACCTGAAAGCATTTGGTGTTTCTGTTGTTCAGAAATATAGCATAATAGTCAATTCAGGTAATTAAAAGGAGGTAGTATTTTTTTCAGTGCTGATTGGGCTGTTTGATTTCTGTTGTGGCGAATTGTACAAGGAAAGACAACTAATATAACATCCATTTAAAACATGCTCTGATTAATTAATAGCATAATAATAAGCAGGATGACTGTAAAGGAATAATTAGAATAATAAAATTGGCATTTATTTATCACTGAAGTACCTTATTCCTTCCTTTCAGCCTCACAGACGCATTGGCTGTGTGTAGTCAGACTGTAAAGCATTGCCTGTACCAGACTTTTACCCCTAAAATGACGACATTGTATGTGTTATTTATGACAGTAAACCATATGACCAATGCACTGTTAATTGTCATTAATATCCTATTTGAAAAATTTCCTAATCCTGTTTATTACTTTGCTAATAAGTAAATCTGTAGACAGAGGGTATTTCGTGTTATATCTACTTCTTTTAAAATGAACTTTATGGCTTGTGTAATGCCTAAATATACATATTTGTATACATACAAATATCGTTCTTGAAAGCTGATCAACTGCATTGGGTATCTAAACAGGTATTTTCAGTGAGACTATTTCCCTGTTTTAATTATTTAGGGTACAACTTATAGTGAGTAAAAGAAAAAGAAGGAAATCCTATTGCCAAGTATCTAAAAATCAGCTTGTTCACTTCTCTAATACAAACCTTACTAGTACTGAAAAATCAACATTTTCACAAAACAGAGCTGTGATTTCCAGATTTTTCAGAAAGAACTAAAACAGGGTGCTGAAGCAAAGTTCGATGCAGATGAATTATAATTATTTTTTATTAAAAATACAAACATACAAATCATTCTTAGATGGACCATTGCAGTAAGTTAGCCAAAAACACTTGAAGCCGGTAAAGAACAGATTATGTTGTTGTTGTTGTTGTTTTATAGCAAAATATCATGATTTTTAAATTCTTCTGCCTTTTTATTGTTTTAATTCTCTGAGTTAACTTGCAGTGAGCCTCCAGACCTTTGCTGAAGAGCAGATGTACAAACTTATTTATATGTGTTGGCAGCATCACCATCATAAATTGCTGGAGCCATTGAAAAACAATAAACTGAACTTGCTTCAAGAGGAACTAGTGCCTCTCATCGGTATTGCCTCTTTCGAGATGACAGGAGACCTCAAGAGGCCTGAGAGTTCTTAGTTGTATGAGTTTGTGACTAATAGGTGGTTTGATGGGACGAGTGCTCACCACCTAGGGAAATTGAAGCATCTTTGAGCTCAATACCCTTTGTGTCTCATTCTTCTGTAGGTTATTGTTGTGCGGCCTGCGGGGACCTCTTTTACAGTTTGCATCCACAGACAATATGCGATCAGCAAAATCCTTCTAGTTTTACTGTTGTTATTGATCTTCTGCCATTCTGCGCTGTGGCTAATTTGCTTGTTAGCAGTAATTTTAAAAGGTAATTACAGTTTTATAGTCTGCTCAACTCTCATGTATTTATTTCTTGCCTAATTAAAAGTTACAATCTTAGCAGTTACAATCTTAGCTTACTTTTTAGCAAATGAGGGACAGTTTGTTTTCTGATTTTTCATTTCACTCTTAATCTGCAGATTACTCTGAGGATAGACGAAGATAGCTGCAAAGTTAGCTAAGGCATTTGCGTTTAGAAACCCAAGTCATACAAGGTTGGAAATAATGTAATGATTTACCCAGTGGTACACAAAAAACTCTTGTGCATGCTAAATAGAGTAAGTAATAGCTTGCAAGAGATTTTGTACTAGCCGAGACCACAGGCTGAGGTCATCATTAGAGTTTGCCTATGTCTTGTAATTTTTTCTTGGCATCATATAAGCATGAGGTAAACAGGGAAGAAATATGATGGCTAAATTACATGCATTTTAAGTTGAATTAAACTCAATTAAATGTCTCATGTGAATCTGCCTAAAACTCTGCTCTTAAAACTGAGCTGGGATTCTCACTGAATTTTTCTTTTAATGGAGGTAAAGAGCTGTTTGATTTAAGTATGGCTAGAAATACACAGAAGTGAAACATTTTGGAAAGGAGCTTAGGGGGGTTGCTGGTAGATTTTGTACAGATTTAACCCTTCCCTGAGGCTCACTGAACAACACTGTAAATGGGCAGCTGCTTATTTGGTCAGCAAGGTCAAAAGCAGGGTCCGCTGCTTACAAGCAAAACGGAAAGGCAAGATTAAAATGTTTGACTTCCATCAGTCTGATTCATTCTGGGAGAGAGAGATTTGGCCCATGATTTTTGTAATCATCTTGCAGGAAACTCCAAATTTCGGTGTCTACCCCCAACACCAGTGGGATCCAGAGCCCTCCAGTTCTAAAAGTTGTCTATTTTTATTATTAAAACCAATCAACCAACCAAAAAAAATGTATTTTTCTAGTCCCTGCAGTTGATACCCTGCCCTCGAATGGCATCCTCTGCCAGGCCTGGAGAGGCACCACATCCACTGCAGGAGACTCTCAGCACAACACCTGCCCCCAGTGGTTCCATACAATACATCCCATTTCTCTTCTTTTCTGCATTCATTCTAAGATCCTCGTGCCCTGCTCCTCAAAACACAGATCCCAGGAAAATCCCTTGACTACATGCATTGGGCATGCTTGAAGGCTGCACGTTTCAAATGGGAAGCTTTGTGCTTGGAAACCTGCTGCAGGTGGCCTTGTATTTGTCCTAGACATTCCTGTTAAAAGCTCACCAAAGTGATGTGTTTCTCCTAGATGCAAATCTTCACAGATTTACCATGGACTGGTATATTTTGCTTGCTGTGGAGTCTATTGCAAAACATTATAGTGGATAGGGCTACAGATGGCTGAAGTCCATCGTGGAAACAAGTGATGATCCAAGTGACCTGCCTGAGCACTGTTTTATATGGCATTTGCAGTAATCACCATCAGATAACAAAGGAAATTTCTCCAGTCTATTGTAATACTAGCAAAATTTGAATAACCCACAGAAATGTCAGATTATTATTCCATGCATTTACAACTCTCTTAATATGACTGTCAGATTGAGGATTCCTGTAAGAGAAGAGAAAAGCCTCCAAAAGTGCCATGGAAAATCCCTTTGACTACTTGGACCCTGTCAGCCACCCTGGCAGATTTCTCAGCTTTATAATATGCGTTTTTACAACCAAAATAGTGAAAAAGCTTAAAAACAGATATCCACAACAAGTGAGTGAGCAAACAAGCCCAGGTTGTCATTTTTAATTACCTGCTGTATATGTGTTTTTCATTTTCAGTCCTTTTTAAATGAAGAGGGAAGAATAGTGTAGATTTGTCTTTTAATACTCTTCATCCTCATATTTTTGCATGAAAAACTATAGAGTGTTGCCTTCCTTCTATATTCCTCCAAAGGTATTCCAAGTTTCTTGATATTTGTTTCTTTACTAGGTTCTACATCTGGTGGAGCCCGAATTCACAGGAAACCCAAAATATTTTAAATAAAGGATACCCAGGAAATTTAAAATACTAATTATGTTCAGTGAAGCTTCAGATATTTTGTTAAAGTGAAATCTTGAGGATCCTCAGAGTTGGATCCTGTGAAATTCATGAAAATTATGAATTTCGTAAGAGTTCCAGCCCCATATCAGTTTCCATCTTGGCAGTCATTTGTCAAATTTGCTGATGGTTGAACAGTTTTGACTGCTGCTGTGAACTGCTTTTCCTGCATGTGTACAATCTGTGCAATCTGTACAACTGTCTATGATTCCTTTGAGGGATTACCTTTTCTGCTTCTGTTTTTGTATTGCCTTGGTAAGTAAGTGCTAATAGAACAACTAACTATTTTCATTAACAGTTATATTAATTGCAAATAATTAAACAATCACATGCAATACGATGTTTTCATGGATTTTAGATTTGCATTTCCCATGATCCCAAATTTGTAATCAGTTCATAAGGATTCAGCCTCTCAGCTCTTTTTAAAGTCAATGAATCAAAATATGTGTAATGTTTTGGAAGCCTTATCTCAAGTAGCTCTAGGATAAATGTTGGAGAGGAATGGTTGGAGAGCTGCCAGGCAGAGAAGGACCTGGGAGTGATGGTGGACAGTCGGCTGAATATGAGCCAGCAGTGTGCTCAGGTGGCCAAGAAGGCCAACGGCATCCTGGCTTGTATCAGAAACAGTGTGACCAGCAGGGCTAGGGAGGTGATCGTCCCCTGTACTCGGCTCTGGTGAGGCCGCACCTCGAGTACTGTGTTCAGTTTTGGGCCCTCGCTACAAGAAGGACATCGAGGTGCTTGAGCGGGTCCAAAGAAGGGCGACAAAGCTGGTGAGGGCCTGGAGAACAAGTCCTATGAGGAGCGGCTGAAGGAGCTGGGCTTGTTCAGCCTAGAGAAGAGGAGGCTCAGGGGTGACCTTATTGCTCTGTATAAGTACATTAAAGGAGGCTGTAGCAAGGTGGGGTTGGCCTGTTCTCCCATGTGCCTGGTGACAGGACGAGGGGGAATGGGCTAAAGTTACGCCAGGGGAGTTTAGGTTGGATGTTAGGACTATTCAGGTGTTTAAGGACATAGCTTAGTCTTCAGACACCTGAAGACCAGGACAATCTTCATCTTTTAAAAACTACCAATAACAAACATATCTTTGCTTCATATCTGATTTAATGAGAAGCAACGTAGGTTGATTTAATTATGTAACTGACAGACAACTGACTCTTCAGCAGAACAGGGCACACTTTCCAGTAACAGATGCTAGAACAACCTTTGACTGTCTTTTGGCCCAACTCATCCCAAAAGACCTCTGGGCTCTAATGGTTAGGGTGAAGACTTCTGGGTGCAGCCCTTATAGAGGACATGGGTCTACTAAGGAGAGCTCTGTGGAGGGTGGAAACCAGAGAGGAGAGGATGGGAGAGATCCATAAGAAGCTGCCAGGAGTATAATCCAGCATCTGTAAATGTTCAAAGTCTAATCCTACCCCAGTGAAATCAATAGGATTTTGTCTGGATGAATAATAGCCAGTCCAATGATATTATGCTGATTAAGGGAATACTAGAAACAGAGTGAAAAAGATTGTTTGCATCAGTGCATTAACACTGATGTTTTCAAATACAACAGCTATGGAAAGTTTCAGTAAAGTTAATAGTGTCTGGGTCTCATTAATTCTTGTTAGGATACACACACAGACACAAATCTTAGAGAAGGATTTCAGTTAAAAGAAAGTACATCATATCTAAAATGAGCTTTCTCACACCTGTGTGTAAAGTTTGCATAAACTCATCTCCATAAAAATCACAGACTTTCTTGCCCTTATAACCATAATTTTTGTTTATTTACATTTGGGATGGTGTTTCTTTTCAAATCCTTCAATGCGCTTTATCAAACCATGTGTTGAATCTTACTCATTGCCACCATGAAATTCAGAGGTAGATAGGAACAATTCCAATTTCTGAGGAACCTGGGTTTGATATTCTGGTTTTTGTGAAACATCGTGGAGATGAACTAAAGCCACAAATGTCAGCCCACATCTAATTTCCCCAAAGTTCAAAGAGATTCAGATCCACTGCCTAGAACCCGTCTGCTCAAAGTCCAGGCTGGTCTTTTATTCATCTCACACCCCATAAATGTAAGTCACAGCGGCAATTTCAATGTACTTAAGTAATGTATAATTGGTTCCTAAAGCTGCCTGCCACTGAAAACAAGCATATTAAATTCAGACTTACAAAATTCCTTATGTCCAATCCCCATTTGTGTGGTGTTTTTTTTTTTGGTTGTTTGTTTTGGTTTGTGTTTTTTTTTTATTCCTCCCTTAGAAAGAGTGCTGATGTTCATTTCCTTACCAACATAGCTAATAAAGAAAAAACATATTTAAAAGTCCAGGTCACTAAGCTGTCAGGAAATCTATAAGAGGCATCTCTTCTTGTAGATCAGATTTAAGAAGAATTAAAACTGAAACCTTCTTAATGACTTTTTAAGACTCTGAGTAGTTTAAAAAAAAAAAAAAAAAAAAAAAAAGATGGAAATGACAAGAAAAAAGAGTGCAGGAAATAAGTCTTTTTAGGCATTGGTATGAAAATTGATATTTTTTGTGTCACTATGTAGAATACTGTAGCTATCAAAAAAATAGTAGTGGAGGATATTAAAACTACCAGGAAACCTTATCAGCACAAATGCTGTACATGTTTTGTAAAAGATGTATTAATCTCATCTCACAGGAGCTGTCACTGTTACAACTAACCCTGGAGCTGTAAAACAAGCTGTAAAATGGATTTGATTCCAGAATATTACAAGTTCTGTCATTACGGGGAAGATTAACAACATAGCCTGGTGGAGGTCTACTGCTCTTAGTGATGCAAGGATGTCTAAGACAAGAAACGGCTTTGTAATTATAGCTGTCTTAGTAGAAATAAAAGGGCAAAAAGGGAGCACATTGAAATAATTATGGGTAGTAGAGAAATGAATGCTTTGAGCAAGGTAGTAGTGAGATAATTT